GGCAAACACGCAGGTTCTGAGTCCAGCCCATGCTCCCTGGAACAGAGCCTGGAGTACAGACTGGCAAAGAGATTTAGGTGGGCCATTCTGCTCAAATACTCTCCAAATGAGTACAGAATTTTCAAAGGCTTAAAAGCATGCAAGCCAAGAAGCCCTGATGAGGCTTCACAGTTTCAGACAAAAGGAAAATCAAATGAATAGCTGCTTGCCTTGGGTTCTGCCCAGAGCTTCAGAGCAGCCATGCAAAGCTGGGCAAGGCTGACATGAAAAAAGAGCCTTGCCGGGCAGTGACAGTCAGAGGAGTGCCACCGTTCATGCCACACGCCTCAAGGCTCTCGGGAAGGACAGGTTGTAGAACCTAAATGTCAAACGGTGCCTTTTCAGTACTTGCATCTGTCACCTCTCCTAGGAGCAACCCTCCTTCCCGGTCATCTTTGTCCTGTAGCAGGCAAGAACATGTCGACCGTCAGGGAGCAGGGTCTGCTGGCCTGATCACACTTAGGCAGCACAGCACTGGGAAGCCTGGCCAAGTCCCTGGAATCCACAGGAGCTTCCCAAAATAGAATGTTTTCCTTGAAAACTCTCCCAAATCCCAGACGGAGGGATCATGCCCTCTCCCTGCCCTCTTGCCCCACCCACTGGAAGTTTTCAAGTCCCCTCACTAAGTGAGACTCATTAGGTGATGACAACAAAAGCCTGTTAGAGCGGGCACTCCTGTCATCAGCTTCCTCCACATGGCTCTCTCTGTTCTTCATTAAAGAAAAAAAAAAGTTTGGAAACAGGGTCTCCCTGGGACAGCTGCCAGGGATGTCAGAGCAACAGGTGGATTTTGAGGAGAGGTAAAAAATGTAAACGTTACAGCCTTAAGAAGCAGGAATGAAATAGCTCTGAATTGTGGCAAAAGGTGAGTTCTAACAGGACTCAGAGACCTTGAAAAGCAAGTTTCCAAAGTTGCCATTCAGTGAGCCATTTATTCCTTTATTCAAGCTCCTCCTAAGCTCGGTCCATTGTGAACTTTAAAGATGGAGATAGTGTAGCCAGGAAAGCAACTTCTGGATCCCTGTGGAAGGCAGAAGTATAGCAGGCTGCAGCTGCTAGAGCCGAGACGACCACGCAACATCAGGAACATCCCAGAATTCTGAGCCTGGAAATGGGGGAAGGCACGTCCAGAAAATGCAGATCCTGTGTTCCTGGATCAACAATGAGCAGAAAGAGTCTAAGATAAAATAGCATGGAGCAGGGCTCGGGGAAGCAGCAACAAGAGCATGGCATAAGAAGGGCAGGAGGGAGGCTGCCTGGTTTGGACTGGAAGCGAGACAGAGGCAGCCCATTTCCAGCGCCTGCAGCCGTTCCCTCACACCCCTCTCGCTGGGACTCCAGGGCTGCGCGCAGCCTGCAGGAGGCCAGCGTCCTTCTCGCTACCAGTCAACATCTATCCAGATCTTCAGCTAGCATATAAAACTAGAATGCAAACTTGACGAATGAAATGCCATTTGAACTATGTGAAATTAGAGTGAGTTTGGAAAAAAGGCTTAATTTTTAAAGTTGCAAAGTGACGGGTGACATATTTTGAGCCCCTGCTTAAGAAAACATATTTCATAACACCAAAGTTAAGAATCTACCACTCAACGATGCAGAAATTAAAGATGGAATGATTTCAGCAATTTCCCAGTATTTGACCTTCAGTTAAGTGAGTTAACATTTACTCACTAGCTACACAGCGCGCAGGATAGTAATAAAATTAAGCTTTAATGACTTGACTCTTTGAAACTAAATATCCACCTACATACAGATTATAAAGTGCTATTCAACACAAATTTTAATTTAAACTATAAGGAGAAAAACCTTTTCTAAAACGAGTGAGATAGAAAGAGCAAGCAGACAGCACAGACTACGACAGAGTCCCTTGTCAGAGCTGGGTAAGTACATTTGATCATTCTTGTTGCCACAGTTATTTGTAAATTACAAAAGGAAACATAATTCCTCGATGTCATCTTGGTCAGACCTTACAGACCGGAGCCTGCCTATCACATTGTGTGATGTATTATACTTTCCACATCTCCATTCTTAGTCAAAAGAAATACCAAGAAAAGACATGTGGTGAAAACCTAAAGATAAAGGAAAATTCTATTATTAATTTTTACTATGATGTAAATTGAACTATTTTATCTGGCTGACAAAACAAAGCTTAAAGGGCCCGGCGCGATGACCTAGTGGCTAAAGTCCTTGCCTTGGCCTTGCATGTACAAGTTTCTCATATGGTCGCTGGTTCTAATCCCAGCAGCCCCACTTCCCATCCAGCTCCCTGCCTGTGGCCTGGGAAAGCAGTCAAGGACGGCCCAAAGCTTTCGGATCCTGCACCCACGTAGGAGACCTGGAAGAATCTCTGGGTTCCTGGCTTCGGATCCACACAGCACCAATCACTGCGGCCACTTGGGGAGTGAATCATCAGATGGAAGATCTTCCTCTCTGTCTCTCCTCCACTTTATATATCTGACTTTGCAATAAAAATAAATAAATCTTTTTTTTTAAAAAAGCCAAAGCAAAAAGATAGCAAGTAAAGGAAAAGGAGGAAGTGTGAGAGGGAGGATGGGACTGTCACTACCTTCTTGGAAATGTATGTGCAAATTGCAAAATAACATTTCGAATGTGTTAAAAATTAAAACCAATTACAAAAAAGAGAGAGAGGGAGAGAGAAAGACAGAAAGGAAAATTCAGCTTGTAATCACCACATCTGAAATTCTGCCAATATTGTTAGTGAAAAAGATTTCTGGAACTATTAAGTGCCCAAAAGTGTTGATTAATTGACATTCATCATTTAGAATTAAATTAATGCACAATTTCAGTTCTATTCATAGTCACCTTAAGAATTACCCATCTTTTCAGCAGGTACCATAGAGCTAATTCCGGGGACTTCTAGAACCATGTTCCTTGCTATTCTTGCTAATGATGTGTTTGAGGCCCTCCTTTACAAGTTGTTATTACAGTCACACATTTACCACATAGTGTTAACACTGTCGACATCAGATTTTCGGGCTATTTTTTTATATGACAAATGGTGTTTGAATCTATAAAAGGTTTAAATTGTAGCTTTGTTAATTTTTCTGAAGCCAACAGTCTTAACAGTTTTCCTGAAGACATTTTTATTATCTCTTATTTCAACTTTTCTAAATCAATGGCTCTTTCTAATTTTCTTGGTCAGGAAAGCAGGCTTTTAATACACCAAAACTGCATCCCAGTAACACAAATACACATTAAAAATGTATATGTATACCTTTTAATTTGATTTTTATATTTTTAAAATTATCAAGTAACAAGATATAGTCTGCTCCAATTATTTTGGAATCATTCAGGTCTTTTAAATTAACATAATGACATTGTCATATTACCACAAATTTGTCCAGGGTTTATCAATGGGACGGGGTATGCATGGGCATTATTTTTTTCTGTCCCTGTTTTTTGTCTCCCTTTCAACCCCTAAATTCATAAGATAATTGTCACGGATTCTTTCATCTACCAGTAATGCAGTTTAACTTAATTTTGAATCACTTCAAATGCTCTTCAAAGTTTGATAATTATAAAAATGTCAGGATGGGAATCCACTGATAAGTATGGAAAATATGACCCTGTATTCTGCCAGCCAAGATTTAACGAGGGAAAAATATATGCTAGCAAGACAGTAAAACTTAGTAACAACTACAACTCGGCTGTCACGGAAGTGGGCATAGGTCTTTTGCTGCTTTATTCTCTTCTCCAAAATTATAAGAAAAAAAACAAGATTATAGCTAATATAAAGGAAAAAACACAGTTATTTTGCATTTGGATTCCAACATGCACATTTAATGTATCTGCTTCATTTAAGAAAGAACTCTTGAAAACCTAAATTTTCCTATTACTTTCCATGTTTTCAAAGGACCCAGTCTTTGCGACACAGTTCATTTATACAGAAACCCTTTAACAAACGAGTCTTGGCATCGGTGCCTTCTCATGTGAGGCACCACATTTTGAAATCCTGGTATATAAAAAAATATAGTTAAGAATATCTGAGGCCAGACACATGACCTATATCATATCAGTGGTCCTTGAAGTACAATATTCCACATTTTTCCATTTATTTTTCAAAATAATCTTTGATTAGATAATAATTAGCTTAATCTATAAAAGGAATCAAATGAACAAATCTAAACCCATCATCCATTTGCCCTATGGGTCAAGAAAGAGAATTAAGTTCCTCCTGCCTGAGTTCATCCTTGTTAATTCCCGAACTGGGTATATCAGCGAATGGAGAAGGTCACTTTCTACTCGTGTTTTCATAATAACCAGAATTATTCTCCAGCATCAACAAGAGCAGCAGTCAAGTCTTACAAAAACACCACTTCTGAAAAAATCAATGCAAGGACTACAGCGTCACTTGAGCCATTGTATCTTTTTAAAGGCTCTTCCCAAGGATAAGATCTAATTGATTTTTCTATTTTCTATTTTATTTCCCTTTCTGAGAAACTACTAAGCATGGACTAGTTTAGCTGAATAATTGGCACAGTATATAAACCTACCATTATCACTTCAGTCCAGAGAAAAGATTTTAAAGGTAGAATGCTAATTATTGAAGTGTTTGAAATAACAGTTCTCAATAATATTACAAAAAAATGGTTTATGGCTCATTTAATGTTAAACTCTTCTAACATTGTGATCATTTGATAGTAAATATATTCATCAGTTAGGGTCTAACCCAAATAATTTTGACATATATGATGGGATGAAAACAGATACCAAGTAATAATTTTAACCATTTCTATTTTGATTATAAAACATTGTTTCCTGATTTATAAGAGAAACATTGCATGTGGATACTGAAAGTTAACAATTTCTGATGTAGTCTTGAAACCAGTTGTCTAGCAAGTCATTATTTCTTTTTCTGCTGCAATTTCTCCTATGCCATCACAACCAGTTCTTGAAAGGATACTGGTGCTCAAAATACAGGTGAGGTTTAGTGTTCTTACCTGGAACCCTTTTTGCCCAGTTGATCATGTGAACCAGCTCTCTGTCAGCCAGGTTGGTTAACAGGCCCATGATTGAAGCCTCGCTGAAGGGTCTGGTCTGGTCATACTCAGAATAGAGTATGGGGGGCTCAGCATCCATCAGGGCACTGACCATCTGATCAGCCGTCAGGGACAGGGCTGGGCTATTCTTCTTGGTGTGCTTAATCAACAGAGGGCTTGGCCAGAGGTTGGCAGCTCTCATGTCTCCAGAGGGCCCTGTGTCATTCCTGCCATCCCCATCATCTCTTTGGCGCTTGTGTTTAAGCATTCTTCCTCCTCTTCTGTCTTTCCGAATACCTGAAAGTATGGGTGAAAAAATTAATTTTTTTTCTCATGGAAAATTCCACGCAAAGTCCAATCTCAAATATATTTCTCTTCATTTTATTCAAATACATACTTAGGTCATAACAACTGGTTCTCCAATAGAAAAACAACAGCAATTGGAATTGTAGAGTTTGCCAGTCTCGTGATATAAATATTACCATCATAAAAAACTTCACAACACTTCTCTGATGTCATATAGCTGATAGAAATACTGAAATCTAATAATTTCAAGACAGCTTTTGTAAACCAGTAGAGTAGAAACTGGCTTTGACATATCAAATGCGTGTGTGTGTAAAACAAATGTCATAAAACTAGAACTGTAACAGTCATTCTTGACAAACAGGAAACATCAAAGGCTACGTTTGTAAATAAATAGTCTTTCAATCATAAAGCAAAAGGACCTTTTTCAGTAATCAGGGACACACCAGGTGTGTGTATACACAGTGATCACCTCCCAACAGAAATGTCTGCAACAAGTAACCAGAGGACAACATGCTTGAGAACTAAGTAAGCAGATGAGCGAACCAGGTAACACAAAAACCAGGTAACACAAGGTATTGGTGGTCCTCCCGTCCCGGAAGAAATCACCCAACACTTGAGAGTCTCCAAGGTGCTTTATTCAGATCTTCCGTTAAAAACCGTTATGACCGTTAATTCCATTACGCTCCAGCCCCTCCCCCGCCAAGCCCCCCGCTTATCTGTCAAACTTGTCCAATCAGATCACCAAGGCACACCAATCAGGGCAAAGGGCCAATCACAGGGCAGGAAATTGTCAGTGCGCCCAACAACAACGAAAGAGTTGTTCAGGTCATCCAGGTGCCAGCCCCTAGCAGGGCAAAATGGAGACGCAAGACTGCCTGGGGGAGGGAAAGTAAACAAAATCCACCCTTAGTCTTGTAACTCATGCCAAATCCAACACGGTAAAACCAAGGACTAGAAGAGACGCACAGCTCCTGCTGCTAAGTCAGTGCCTGAGAATAGAGCACCTGAATCCAGCTTAACTGACACAGCCAATCTTCTTTTCCCAATCTTAAGAAGCACAGAAGAGAGCAGAGTCCACTGTAGGAGGAAATGATTAGAACATCATGCCTTGGAATGCAGGACTGGGTTCCCTACGTAGAAACTCAACACTAGGGCCCAGCACGGCAGGTCAGAAGCTAAAGTTCTCATTTTGAATGTCCAGGATTCCATATGGGAGTCAGTTCTAATCCCAGCAGCCCCACTTCCCATTCAGATTGCTGCTTGTGTTCTGGGAAAGCAGTTGAGGACGACCCAAAGCCTTGGGACCCTGTACCCATGTGGGACACCTGGAGGAAGTTCTTGGCTCATGGCTTCAGATCAGCGCAGCTCCAGCCATTGAGGTTACTTGGGGAGTGAGTCATTGGATCCAAGATCTTCCTCTCTGTCTCTTCTCCTCACTGTATATCTGACTTTGCAATAAAAATAAATAAATCTTAAAAAAAAAGAAGAAAGAAAGAAACTCAACAACTAAGCAAAACACAGTGGATCCTAGTCCCCAGACCAGGACACCACAACAGAACCTCCATCCTTTGCAGGGACAGAAATAAACCCAGATGAGACAGATTCTAGCCACCGGCATCAGCTCTACCTGGGAGCAATAATTCCAGGTATCACTAGACTACAACAACCTGTACATCACAGCAATATGGATTTTGGTGAAACGCCTGTCTTAGTGAGCTCCGAGTCTGGGTATGATTTGGTATTGCTACATCTACAAAGTCACCAGATCTCATCTCACTCCCAAGCCCAGGGAACACAACAAGGAGAGTCATTTTCTGTTATGGAAAAGAATGAGGGTGGTGGAGGGTGGTGGTTGTGGTGGTGATAGGTACAAGAATTGGTTAAGATCCTGGGACTAGACTCTACAGTGTCAGACAGAATCAGGCAAGGCCTCATCACATGTTGCTGACCACAGGCAAATCTTCTGGATCCATGCCAGCCTAGGGTGGAGGCTGGTGGGGTATGCCTACTCTTGGCAGGCATTCCTCAAGTCCAATACAAAGAACATACTAACTGCAGGTTTAGGAAAGATTGGCTTTGGCTTATCCTCTTGTGCTGAAACAGTGACTACACATGAAAGAAGTCTGGGAGTGCTACTGAATGTAGGACGCCATCCAGTGCTTCCAGAACAGCAATGACCACAGGCCAGTGCCCTGACCAAAAGGCATAAGGAAAGCCTGATTCCACCTACTGCAACAGCCATGCAATGCTTCAAGGTGCTGACATTTCTGGAGTGAACCAGCAGATATGATTCATTCTCCCTAACTCTGTCATTCATCCATTCTCTTGCTCTGCATCCTTCTATCCTTCTGTGTCCTGTTTCACAGTTTCTTGTACACCTACACTTCATAGCATTCTTCTGGATAGCAGATACATTCAGTTGATGTGCATATTTGAATATAAATATAATATGTCCTACTTTTTTTCCCTTTATATTTGCTTCAGGCTTGACTTTATACTTGGGGAGAATCTAGCAAACAGAGGAACTAACGGCTACTTCCCTGTCAGATAAGTTGTAGCTGCTGTTAAGGTTTATTTTCTGCTTAGCATCTATTTTTTCTCTCATTAAATATTGCCTTGCTCAACAGAGGTTGTATTGAATGGTATAAAACTATGGAACTAACTAGTGGGAACAAAAAAGAAAATGATCTAAGACATTGGAATGATTATAGATTTTTTAAATAGGAACACAAAGAGGCAACAAAAGTAAAAACATACCAGTGGAATATGTCAGAATAATAAAAAAAAAATCTGCACAGGAAAACAATAAACAGAGTGAAGAGATCTCCTACAGAATGGTATTTGCAATTTACATCTTTGACAAATTAATAACCGGAATATAGAAGGAACCAAGTCAACTCCAAATAGTACTATAAATCCAATTTTAAAATGTGCAATAACTCGAAATCAGGCTTTTTTCCAGAATAAGATGCACACATGGCTCACAGACAGATGAAAAACATTCCATTTCATTAATTATGAAGGAATTCCAAATCAAAACCCAGTGGGAGATCCCCTTACTTTAGACTATTATCAAAAAGACAAAAAATAACCAGTGCTGGTGGAGATGTAGAGAAATGCAGCCTCAGGCTTCGCTAGAGCAGGCAGGTGAGATTGGAAGCAGAGCTCTGACTCAGAGCAACATCCACAAATGGGATGCAGACCTTCGAGGTGAGGCCTTATCCACTGTACACAACAGCTTACACAGAAGTAGAGAAGGCACCTCCCCTTCCTGTATTTTTTTTCAGCTGTAAGAAGCAGCATTTTATTAGATTTTAATAAATGATTACAGAAACTATTACCGCTAATAGGCACTGAGAAAGACATGTTTCGTACTTTGTATGTAGTTTAAATGGAAGATTATAGCTGATTTAGTCCTCACAATTATCCTGTAAATCCTGGAAAATCAATACTGAGAGAGATGAGTGATTGTTTTCTGTAAAGTCAGATTCCATATGTAGGTTCTGAAATGAAGGAGTTGCTTCTTTGTTTTGTTGATTTGTTAACCAGATATTTTGAATTTTACTTATTATTAACACAAAATTAATCATTTGAGGCACACTGAAAAGTAAATCGGGTCCAAATAGTGTTGGAATAGTCATCATCTCATACTTCAACTGATTGCTAAAGGAATCATTTAGAAAGATGGAAATCCCCTCTACTTTCCGCTTCAAAGATCATATACATGGCATCCAGCTCATGGCTCGATGTCTCCTATGCCAGGATAGGTCAGAAAGCTCATGGAAAATAGTAGAACCAAATATGAAATCTTTGCCACACTTTGTCATCATATGCATTTCCATTCAATCATTGATGACCCCTACATTCATGGATTCAATTCTGCTTTGCATCAGAATAAACTTATTTCTTAATTCAATTTTTCATTGACTTTCTGTATTATACTCACTGGAGAACACACGTACCAATTAGAGTAACTAGAATAGCGAGAATATACGAAATTGGGTCACGTGGAGAGGACTCTACTAGAGATAAAAAGGAAGACAGAGGAAACACAAGCAGTGCTCTCAAATGGGCTGGGCACTAGAAGATTCACTAAATTTTACCTTTTTGAGCCTAAAGGCTGAAAACATCAACACTGCATATAAACAGTGAATTTAATCTTACAGTATAACTAAATGAAAAGTTTGTATCAGTCATTGTCAATAACAAAGAATGAGGTCAGTGTCATGGGAAATGGTGTTTTGGATCTCTGGAGAGTTCCAAGAATGGGGTAGATGAAAAATATAAAGAGGTATTTGTGACAAACCACTAATGTTCTTTTCTTGAAAGAATTTAGAAATGGATCTCCCAATTTAGTCATATCAGTATCTAGTGCAGTAAGTTCAACCAGGAAGCCATTTGAGTGTCACAACTAATTATGGAGACTATTAAATACAAGATAAAACTGACAATGGCTTTGGGATTTACAATGATAAAGTACAGGTTCAGCGTGATGGTCTACTGGTTAGAGTCCTCGCCTTGAACACACCGGGATCCCATATAATCGCCAATTCTAATCCCAGCAGCCCTGCTTGGGGCCTGGGAAAGCAGTCGAGGAAGGCCCAAGGCTGTGGGACCCTGTACCTATGTGAGAGACTCGGAAGAAGTTCCTGGCTCCTGGCTTCAGATTGGCTTAGCTCCAGTGGTTGCGCTCACTTGGGGAGCGAATCATCGGAAGGAAGATCTTCCTCTCTGTCTCTCCTCCTCTCTGTATAGCCGCCTTTCAATAAAAATAAATAAGTAAATAACAATAAAGTACAACTGGACATGTGAGAAGAGAGTCGACTATAAAATCATCAAATATGGTAGAATAAATTAGCAATAACAAGCATTTTTCTAGCTTACCCCAAATGAACTATATTTTAAGAACAAAAGTTCCTACAAAATGTACAAGCAAAACAAAACTAGAAAATTTTAGATTTTACTTAGCCACCTATAAATGATAAAATCCA